GGAAAGATGGAGCTTCTTATTTCACAGGACCTCTGCCATTTTTTCTAGTAACATTCTGCTGTTTCATAAAATATTTCTATTGTTCCATTTAATAATATTAATGTTTCAAAAAATAAAACTATTGTTACACCAATTACAATATGCCTAATGTTGATTCACTAATCAATTATCTAATGCTCTAGTATATATATTATATTGTTTCATATTATATAGCTATTGTTCCAATCTTTAAGTCTACTGTTCCAGAAACTGTATGTAATGTTCCAACAACAAAACATACTTGTTCCATAAAATTGCAATATGCCTAATGTTGATTTAGTAATATTCTGCTGTTTCATAAAAATGTTATACTGTTCCATTTAATTATTTTACTATTTCAAAAAATATACTTTATGTTACACCAATTACAATATGCCTAATGTTGAATTCAGTAATCAAATATTTGATGCTGTAGTATATATATTTTGCTGTTTCATATTATACATCTGTTGTTCCAATTTTTAAGTCTATTGTTCCAAATTCTGTTTGCAATGTTCCAATTATAAAACATACCTATTCCATAAAAATACAATATGCATAATGTTGATTTAATAATATTCTGCGGTTGCTAGAAAAGTTCTGTTGTTCCAATTAATTATTTTACTGTTTCAAAAAATACACCTAATGTTACACTAATTACAGGTTTCGTACTTTGACAGATTGAAACGAGGATCAACTCAACCTCCAAGGACAATACCCCTCTTGTCCGTTTGGAACAAGGAGATGATTCAACAACGGATGAAGGTGGAATTGAAGAGAGGTTTCGGGTAGGGTATAGTCCTTGACAGGTTGCGAATCAACAAAGAAAAGCCTGTTGCAAAAGATGAGCAAGAACCCTCGTCATCCTCTGCACCTGAAGATATAATGGTAGAAACAAAAAAAAAAAAAAAATTATTCTGTTGTTCCATGACTTACATTCAATTATTACAAAAAATATGGCTGATGTTACATTGCTGATTTAGATCATACAATATGCTTGTTGTTGTCTGATGTTCCAGCATCTATTGTTCATGCTAATAAGCATACTATTTCATGAAAAGTATGTGATGTTACAATTAATAACCCTTTTCATTTATGTTGTTCCAATCTTTACAGTCAATTGTTTCATAACATATAGCTATTGTTTCATTAAAGTTGTTTATTGTATCTACCAATGTTTACTGTTCCATGAAAACTTTATGCTGTTTCAAATATTATACCTGTTGTTTCATTTTTTTATCTATTGTTCCAATACCTATATTCAATACATCTCATTTATATAGTTCATATGTTATATGCTTTTTTTAATAGATGAATTCAACAACATGACTAAGGCACTTGCTTCCCATGTCAATGAGATGTATGCTTTAGTTGACAAAGCTTACAAGATGTTAGAATAGGTTGAGATTCCGGATGAGATGAAAAGTCTCATAAAAAACATTTGGGGTAAGTACTCTTCAGTATAACCCACAATGAATCAAGAAGGAATCAGGATCCCTGGGATTCTCTCCCAAGACCAGAATTTGTTTAATGAACAAGCATTTTTGTCAAAGTTGAATGATGTGATGAGTAGAGCTTGGGCTACATTCCAGCCCAAAAATAAAGGGAAAGAACAAGAAGTACCCCTCCCCCCCCCCCCCCCGGAACATGCTGCTCAAGAACCTTCCCAAGAACCAGTTTTAGAGATTGTTCCAATTACTGAATTCAGCCCAAATTTCAACCTTTTCATAGGATCACAGGCATTGCCTCCTACTCCCCCAACTTCCCCAACACCCGAAAAACCAGCAACAGAACAACAGTTGGAACAGCTCATTGAATCAATTGTTCATAAAATAACAACATCCCATTTCAGTGTGCCTGGAGGTGGAAAACAAAGAGAAAAAAGGATCACTTAAAACCTTCCACCAAATATGCGTTCACCGTTCATGGTTCAAAATGAAAAAGTATCTAGAAAGCTTGACGCACAGCAGAGAGCGGTTGCTGAATATGCATTTTCTATTGGTCCCAAAACGTAAGCAACATAATAAATGTTCTGTTAATTCAATTATTCCATATACTATTTCTATTGTTCCAATTTAAATAACTTGTTGTTCCACAATTTCAGTGAGGAGATGTACAATGACACGCTCAATTTTATCACTAGGGATGAAATTTCATGCCTACATGAAAACAACTACGTAATCAACAACATATGTGACTCTTGGGCACATATTCTGAACATGGCCAACAAAAGAAGAAAACCTAGAGCCATTAACAGATTTTTCTGCACTTCTAAATGTTAGGTAATTATGTGTAATTTTTAAAAGTTGTTTCATAAAAAATGTCAGTTGTTCCATTAATACACTTACTGTTCCATAAAATCTAACTGATGTTTCAATTATTATGCCTATTGTTTCTTTATATGATGTATTGTTTCACAAAATATGCCCATAGATACGCTATATTGTTTCATAAAAAATGCCCAATGTTCCTAATAATTGTGCTATTGTTTCTACAGTAAAATAAATTTAAATTTGTTTTTTTTTCCCTGGCCAAATGCAGATTATGATGTTGGCTAACAAATACTTCACCTCAAAAGAAAAGTTTGTGGAGAGATATAAGGCATTTAAGACCAGAATAGAAAAGGAGATGATACACTCCAAGATCACTACATTTGACAAAGTTGACTTGGTTAGTATCTAAATTCTATTGTTCCATTATATCCATTTATTGTTTCTTAAAATAGGCCTAATGTTTCATATAATATGTCTATTGTTTCATGGCAGGTTTTCTTTCCAGTAGTCACATTTGAACACTACTACCTATTCTGTTTTAATTTCATAAAAAACTAAAAGTGATTGACAACAGAAACTGGAAGAGGTGTTAATATGGATGCCAAATACAGAAACTTCCGAACTACAATGGTAAATTTATTTGACTACTGTTCCAAATATTATTCGTATTGTTCCAGTTTGTCTATTGATTGTTCCTTAACAGATTTTGTATTGTTCCTAATTATTTTTAAACTCTATTTTTTGTTATGAAGATCAAGGCATTTAGAAAAGTAATGACAGAGAATAAAATTGGGAATGGTCGAGCAGTATCGAGATTCAAACCAGTACTAAAGGAACTGAGATGGTAAAACAATGAAAAAATGACTGCGGCGTATACACTCTAAAACATAAGGAAAGTTATACGGGACAAACTGATTTACATTGAGATATAGGTTTCGACCCAAAAGATGTAAGTTATTATGCCTATTGTTCCATAAAATATGCTAATTGTGTCAATTTTTATACTTGTTGTTCCATGGTATATTATCTGTTGTTCCAGTATTTATTTTCTATTGGTAAAATATTTTTCAGTCGGAAGTAATGAAAAAGATGAGGATAGAATATTGTGGCAAAATCTTAACAAGCCCAACAAACACCTTATAGGATGAAGTGATAGCAAAATCAAAGGCCTGGGCATTAGAGCAGCTACGCCATGTACCGCAATAATCAATGACAATTTTAGATTAGTTTATGTTTGGATGTTTTGAATGGATGTTATTTATGGATGTTTTATATAGATAGTTTAAATTTTAATGGGTTTGTATTGTTGGAACGATATGTTACTAATATGGAACATTATGTATGTATTATTGGAACAATAGTAGTACTAATATGCAGTATTAATTAAGCATGTTAGATGCTCTATTCAAAAGATATACTATCACACTAAGTATAATATGCAAGAACAGTAGGCATATAAAATGAAACAACAAAATAGTATTTACCTTTGTAATTGATTATATATAATATTAGGTCCAGTTGCCCATATCAGATCCGGCAATGGCAGTAAACCACAAAATGTAGTCCGACGTATAACACTAAACGTAGTCCGTGGTATACCGCCATTACCGGAAATAATGTGGGAACAATAAGAAAATAAAAGAAAGAAAGTTGGTAGAAGAATTAAATTGGTTGTGTTCAAATCAAGTTCAAGATACTTTATATAAAGGCCACAAAAGTATGAAATGACATAAAAGCATGATTGACACAGCATTACACGTTCCCACATGAAACTAACAAGTGTTGGGTTGCTTTTTTGACTTTTTCCATTAATCTCTTCCCAAAGCTCTTGTATCACGCGTGATTTCAAAAAAAAAAAAAAAGTAGACTTGTCAAATCATTACACGTTCCCACATGAAATCAAATTGTAGATTTTCTAAAACGTGTACGTCTCCAAAGATTATTATTTAACTTTTTTTAAAATGAAAATAAATGACTGTTTATACTTAGTGAAATTACTGAATATTTGAACTATTGTTCCAGATGAGTAATATAATGTTCCATATAGTGAAACAGTTGTTCCATATGTCAACACTAATGTTCCATATATGTGAATCATTTTTTCGACAGCGTACAACCATTGTTCCATGTGTATCTAATATTAAAACGGATGTTTCATATGTCAAAAACTGATGTTCCATATAATTAAATTATTGTTCGATGTGTTTGAACCATTGTTTCCGTAGTTTTTGAATTATTGTTCCACATATTTGAATTACTGTTCTAGTTATTAAACTGGATGTTCTCTGCATCTTAATATTTTCACTAATTAGTTATTGTTGCACTGTTAGTAACTTACTGAAATCATTAGAACAAACAAAGAGGTGAGTAACAATAGATTAATAAAAAGGAACAATAATTATACTAACACGGAACAATAGAACAAACTAGTACTTCACACGCACAATTCCGAATATCATGATATGCAAGATTCCCACAGCTACTACATTTCCTCTTCTTCTTCTTATTACATTGTTGAACTTCTTTCTCTTTAGCTCCCTTTAATCGTTTAGACCCACTGATTCCACTGCCATCATGAACACCTGCGCCTTTATTCTTCGACACTCTAGGAGGCGGAACAGTATTTCATCAAGCATACTACATCCAATTAACATTTCAATGTCATGTTATTTGGTCTTGCATTCTCACTTTCAATTTCAATAACACTCTTTATGCCTTGAATTTTATTTTAAGATCTTGAATATTCTTAATAAAATCTTGCTCATGACCTTTTACCCAACTCACACAAGAATGTATCTCAGACCACATTTCATTCAATACCACCCTCCTATCATCCATATTTTTACAACTTTTCTCTAACATTGGTTTCTGAGTAGCAGTTATTATCCACCGATCTAAGATATATTGCTTTGGAAAGATTTTTAAATTCTTTGCTTTCCACATCCATATCATATGTCTAAATGGGATTCCTATCCTATAGAACTTTTTACATGAGCATGTAGTTTCATAATTAACAAACTCAAATAAAACCTTAAATTTTCTTCTCCTATTAGCCTCAATAACTACTGCTATATTCACTTCATTTTCCTTCCTCAATTCATCCACACCACAGGAATAAAAATCACTATAAACTTCATCTTGAAAATCATAAAAAGCAGAAACGGTGTATACCTCTAAACCATGCCTCTCAATCAGCATTTATGTCTTACATCGAGGGTACTTCTCCTATGAATCATTGTCATTTTGTGCCTGACTGTGTCTTTGTGCATCCAACACAGTTTCATACCTCATGAAAAACTCCACAAGAGACACATGAGGATTAACAAATGACGAAAAAAATTTATTCTCACACTCAGACCTTGATGTAGTTCCCATAATTCCTCCCATAAAAATGTCTCTAAAATACACAGCAATCCATATAGATCTCATTTCAAACATCAAATTAAGCCAATTATGGTCTTCTAAATTGAACTCAACAAGAACATCTTTCCACTTCTCTTCAAATTCAGTTGGCTCAATATCTAAATTTCAAACACACTTTCTAAGTTTCTTCAAAAATTTAGTCTCCTGAGTGATACTCCTTCCTACTTTATCAGGTAGCTTTTTCATAATATGCCACATACAAAATCTACAGACCAATATCATTACAACAAAATAAGTATGGGACATTAGAACAAAATTCATCAACAATGTCCTATAAAAATGGGACTTTAACATAATAATTAAGAACAGATAAATAAAAAATAAACAATAATTTGGAACAGCTAATTAAAAACATGGAACATTAGAACAACATTTCGGAACACTGTCTTATAAAACGGGAACATTAATATAATAATTCGGAATAAATAAATAAAAAATAACCAATAATTTAGAGCAGATCATTAACAATGTGGACAAGTAAAACGATAATGCAAAACAATATAATTAAAAAATGGAACAATTACATAATAATTCGGAACATATGATAAACAAAATGGAACATTTTAAAAAAATTAGTTCAGAATAGCTAATTAAAAATATGGAACATTAAAACAAGAATTTGGGACAATACAATAAAAAACTAGAACATTAAAATGACAATAGAATATCAGATGTCTGTGCTCACATTGCTCAAAACAAAATTAACAGCAATTTTCATCGCTGGATATTAATCCATAATTAAACAATTAGGTTCTCTATGGCCTATTGCTTTAAGAAATGTTCTAAATAGCCATTGAAATGAAACTACATCTTCCTTTGCTATAAACCCAGCAGCAAAAGTAACACATTTCTTGTGGTTATCGACTCCTGTGAATAGCCTAAAGACCATACTGTAACTGAAATTAATACAAAAACTCATATAACCAATATTAATATATTTTAAACATAATGTTCTTCATTCTTCCTCTGTTGTTCCACATAACTGTTATAATGTTCCAAATATATGATCTAATGTTCCATTTCTGTACAACATGAATTCATATATGAAAATAATAGTCGACTTATACATATATAAAAGTACCATTATAATACACATACAAATATCTGTTACTTTAGTAAGTAGTATCAAAGGATACCATAACCAAAACAACATAATTCTTCCTATATATAGGATCTGCCCTTAAAGCTCTACAAAGACAGTCATCTTCATCCATTTCATAATAAAAAAAATATGCCGACGACATCAATGTTTTCCTCTTAAAATTTTCAACAAACATCTAGGCGTCTAATCCATCAATATAAGCCTTCAAATCTCTATGAAAGCTCTTGAAATCAGACTTACTAGCACCTATATTCTCATATCCCCCAACATATTCTTTCATCATTCTGAATGCTTTCACAAGGCCAATATTAACCTGTGTACAATAAAAACAATAATAAAATTATTATAAATGTGTATAAAAAGGTAGGTGAAAACCCTACCTTATATGGAAACCATGCTATATATGAGAACAAATCTAGGGCTTAATTAGATCTGACGGTGCACATTTAATAAAAAAAAAAGGAAATTGAAAACAAATCTATATTATGGATGTGTACATTTAATTGAAAAGGAAGAAAAAAAAATGGTGCACGTTTAATTACATCTGACAGTGCACGTTATTCTAAATGTGTAGTTCGAAATTCAAAAAATTTAATACAACTGCTTGTAATTATTACTTTATTGTTCCATATATTTTAACTATAGCTCCGCTTTATTAACCTATTGTTCCACTCAGTATGAACACATTTTTATAGTAACTACTAATCCACTGACTTGAACTACTGTTCCATTTATAAGTTAGCAAGTTCCATTTTGTTGAACGATTGTTCCATATATTTGAAGTATAATAATTACAATAATTTTTCCTACACACTATATTGTTTCATTTTCAAAAACTATGTTCCACACAATTATACCTACATGAGTCGTCGTACATAATACCGTATCTACTGATCCATATTCAAACACTATTGTTTCATAACATTGTGCCTAATGTTCCATATAATTAAATTAATGTTCTATAGTATGAGAAATATAAATAAAATTAATAAAACCATAATTAAATACCTTTGAATTATCAATAATCATTTTCTTATGCAACAATGTCAGCTTTCTTTTCGACTTCTAAAAATGAGCATTGTTATGAGAATACATAGGATTAGTATGCCCTTCTTCAAATTTAGAAACAATATAACCTCCATCTTCATATCTCTTTAATATCATTTTGGCCCTACAACCAACTCAACTATCCAATCTTCTAATAATACGAGTATTACCTTGAACAACATTGTTTTCTTCTTCATTACTATCCCCTTTATCTTGTACACCATTGTCTTCTTCATCTTTAACATCATTGACTTCTTTATCTTGAATAACATTGTCTTCTTCTTCACTAATATATCATTTATCTTGAACAACGTTCTTCCATTTTTCCCTTGTACCCATCTTTATTACACATAATATTTGAAAAGAAATCACACCATTTTTATTTTATTTTTTCGTAGATTTTCTAGTAATAAAACAAACAACAGCTGCATATGACTCGTAAAAACGTAACCCATCATCCACATTTGAAAATCTCATACTTATGCATGGTCTTATTTCACTATCACAACATGGAATCCAAAGCTTTGTTCCGCCAAGAGTACAAACATGGACAACATTCACTGTATCGCATTCAACTGAAACAACGCAATTTGCTTCTACATCCATGCTTCATGGTTGATGAAAATTTCAACAAAGAAAAAAAAAATCAGACCAAAACGTCATAACAAATGAAGAATGTTGAGGAACAATTTTCTAATTACAATTCAAAAAATGGGCGGCTTAAATCTCTTGGTTTTCCAGTGCATATTACCGTGTTTCAATGCAGAAAATAAAAAATAAAAACCATGTTCTAAGAAAACAATGATGACTGATTGCATGTTTCAATACAAAAAAAAAAAAAAAAAAAGAAGCCCACATGTACAAGTCAGCAATCCGAAATTCAATCTCAACCATCCATAATATGAAAACGGATGGTGTAAGATGGGTTCTCATCTTTAGAATGGTTCTCACCTACGCTATATCTAGTAATCATAAACATAATGGTCTTGTTTGTTTTAGACTAGTAGTAGGTCATAATCCCCTAAAACTTACTTATATATTCCTTTTTTTAAAGGAGGAGACGATAGATCGACACTTTCGAAGAATAAATATGGAGCACCTGTTAAACAAGCTAAGGCACCTGTAGCATTGCAAGTTCACATCGCTAAAGGTCTCGACTTAATTAAGTAGAGTGACAAACTTTTGCATAACACTCACGACAATGCTTTACTTACTTTATCATGCTTTTTATGTTGAATATGTTGGAATTTAACTCAATAATCGATCAAGGTTTGACATTTAAGCTAAAGGAAGAATCACTTGTGTTGAGCAAGGAATAATTAATGGGCGAACTTCAACTAGCCATATCTCTCAAACTACTTTGATTTTTTATATAATTCAAGCACTACTACAAAAATAGGTTAATAAACCTGTTTAATATGGCATCTCAAGGGTCTGTTTGATAAGGCGGGTCTGCTTTAAAAAACAAACAGATTCGTTATGAGAGATAAGGGGTCTCTTACGTGTGTTGTACGATAGATATATCGAACAAAATGAAGCTAAGGTAACAGTGAAAAACCATTGCCTAATATTAAAAAAGTGTTGTCTTGTACCTAAGGCAACACATATGAGGCGTAGTTTATGCCCCCATTGTCTATTCATAAGGCAACAATTTTTAGTTCAAAGGCAATAATTTTAAAAGTCAAGGTAAAATAATACCTAAGGCAACAGTTTAACAAAGACAACAAATAAAAACTATTGTCATCTTAAAAGACAATTCAAAATTGTCACCTTATGTTATAATATGCAACAACCTTTTCACTTGTTGTATTTGGTAGCAATAATACATAAGTGTTGCCAAATATTTTAAAGACAACACTTTAAAAGTTGTCATATAAAATTGAATAACTAGAATGAATTGGCTATTTTTTCCGATTGTAATACATTGCTATTTAATATTGAAAGAGTGAAATATGTAGTATTCTTGTGAATTTATTAAAGAAGAAAAATGTTGATCATTAAAACATGTAATAAGCATTTGACTCGAGATCCCTAACTTATATAATTAATTAGTAAAAAAAAAAACAAAGCAGTATCAACATGTTTTCACCACCAAATCCATCTCAATAACCTATTGTTTTATAGTATATTATACGTTATAAAATTAGTTAAGCTAATAAATATAAGAAAAATTATATCCAAACAAGAAATAACAATAGAATTGTTAAAGAAAATTCAAATTGAACAATGACGTCACATTCTTCTTCTTCTTCTTACACGCTGCCTTCTTCATCTTAATCTAGTTCATTCTCCATACTATTCACTCCCTACAAATTTTTTTTTTAAAAATTTAGGAATTAAAATACTTTGTATTTCGAATGTCCTAATGTAAATACATAACCTACATGATGAAAATAACAAAAAAGAAAGGTATAAATAAAATAATAGATACAAGGCTAGGATGATTTTTTTTTTTTTTTTTTTGTACAAAATAACAAAACTTAATATGAGAATTCTATACAATAGCATTAGCTCTAAAAATTACGTATGATGGCACGACAAAACATATATTCCATAAAGTAGCACCCTACTCTTTATTAATACGAGTAATACACATAGAAACCTTATTAAGTTAATCTTATGCCTT